AACAATGCTGAACCCTGCACGACGATCGAAGATAGGCCATTAAGCCCTCAGTAAGTATGGCAGTGATACAAAACAATTTATCAACTTCAAGTTTGATATTCCTCTCTGTGCACTTCTGTGCAGTGGATTACAATAATTCCTCTTCCCAGTTTACGTGTATGGCCTCTAATCATGTGTCACAAATCGCTTTTGGTTCTGTTCAGTAAAGCGCATTTCTCACACGTTGCCAAAGCAACTGAAAACGAAAATTAAATACTTTTATGTGCAGATCTAATAGGATATAGACACTCTTCATTAGTGAGATGGTTGAAGAAAGACAGGGATGTATAAACGGTTATATCACGGTTAGCCGCGTGACTAACGGAACATGGCTACAGAGAATTAGAGTATGATATACATCAGGGATGAGTGGACTTAAAAACTGTCGCCCGCCTCCATAATACATTTGTTGAGAGATGAGATGTCACCAACGACAACAGCAAACACGTTTTCCAAGAAGTATACGTATCATTTAAAAACCAGTGGATAACAAAAAAATGAACTTTCAATGATTAGTGGACCTACCACGGCAGTCCTAGCAATAGCAATCATAATGAGCAGCCGCGGAATGAGGATGAGTTAATAAAACCGCGATGGAGCTATTTGCCCTATGACTATGAACCAGTGGCAAACATTCAAGCAAAACTGGATAAAAATCTGATTGCAGGCGCATTGTCTTACCATACATTAAATGAACTCCATAAACCAATTGAGAAAACACAAATCTGGGATCTTATTTAGCTGGTGAAGTACATCTGGGTATGTGGAATATCAAAAAAATGTGCACCCTAAAATAAATTCTAAGATATACGTGAACTTACAATACAACGTGTTCTTGATTATCCACACGACCACGGACATTTACGTGGCAAGAATTCACAAAAAACATAGAGGACATCAAAACACGCAAAAAAACGTATGAAAAACAACCAGTCAGACGGGTCTTACCCTTTCGAAAAATAGAATTGAGAATAAATTAGAATTCATGTGAGCGACTTGTTCAAGTCATTCTCCATCACTAGCAATTTTACTGCGCTTCTCAGAAGGGGGTTCGGATCCATCATTCTCCTCGTTTTTTTCTACAGGTATTGCATCCGGAACGACTCTGTTGACTCCAACCGGATTAGATACCTGTGGTCGTGGGACAGCTGAGGATACCGTAGGAAGAGCAACTCCAATGGGAGAGTACCCAGAGCCTACAAATAGCAAACATAACCAAAAATGTGGATGGAAGAAAGCTTTTCATTAAATTTTCCTTTATGGATCTGTAAGCTGAATACTAGCAATAACGAGAAACACTGACAGCAATCATTTGAAGCAGCAATTAAATAAAATATGCTAAAATAGAGTTCCATATATTCTGAAAATAAGCCGCTATAAAATCATTCGATTAGACTTATGGATAAAGGGAAAATTCATATAATTTTTAGATGAGCAATCTTACTTGATGCTGCCTTAAACGATCACTCATCATAAGCGCTCTGAATTTATGCTTCAGGTTGCAGCACGGTCTTAGCTCAGACAGCTAAAAAGGCAGATGCTTCCATTAGTGCGACTCGTACAATTGACTTTCGAAAGCCGGATAATGTCCTCTATTCATTAAAAAAATAGTCAATCAAATATCGCAGCTTCATCAATATCATGGATGCAAGTGCCACGCAGAAAGTGAAAGGAATGCACTAAATTTGTATGCTTCGCGCCTGATAAGGCCTGCCTTAAAGTGAAACTAAGTTGCTCCTCAAAATTATTTCCTAAACAACGCATCTGTCAAGGCTTACAATAAATACCATAAAAGCACACCTTCTTCGAAAGAGCTACGTGAAACCTGAGGTAGCGTTGTTGGAGGCGAAAGCTCTCTGAACTCACGAGCATTTTCCATTCTAGCACGAGCTTGCTGGAAGATAGGATCGATCGGCCGGGAGGAATAGTCCACCTAGAAAGAAGATCTCAATTCAAAAATAAAGTTGTAGCTTAGTAGGTCGGAAATTTCTCAAGACTATAACTATCAATCTACTCACAGCTCGACCATTCGCATCTAGTCCCACAGGAAGTCCATTCGTGTTGAGAGTGGACTTGATGTTACTCATGCAGTTGCTTAGATAAGTCATCATCAAAATAGGCGCCAACTGCAATATGAACAAAATGTAAGTAAATTCGAAAAAAGGTGATGAAAATACCAACCGCAGGCTTATCATCCATCTCCTTTCGTTCGATTCCTTGAACAGGTGCAGTCACAACAGTACTTTCCACAGACACTGAATGAGCAAACTGTTTGGATATTATGTGCTTAGGATGAAAAATGATCGAGTACCTAAGATCGCACCTAAAGGATAGTACTCTTTACACTACCAATAAGTCAGTCAACCAAGATGTTCTAACCTTTGACCAAATAATTTGAACACATTTAAGCAATTCTTTGAGATAGAAGTAAGGACGATGCTCTATCTTTACATGTTATGAACAAATACTATGTAATCAGGACTTCTTTCTTCAACAGTCAGTGAAATCGATCAGTTTTATAGTAGCGAAAGCGTATATAGATTCTCGTCGGTAAAGTTGTCTCAGAATTGAAAAAGCTACTCTTATAGAAAAGCAGTTTTAAAAAAATCTACGATTAAACGAGTTACAATGCGAAAATCAGTTTTGGACTGAACTAAAATCACTTAATGAGAAATTTTTGACCTTTTCTATGTTTTGGGGAATGTTTGGGCAAGGATGTAATTCACAAATTTTCAAAATTACTCTAACAGCGACAAGTAGTTACACGTTGATCCGCAGCAGAGACAAAATACAAAGACAAGATTCCCAAACATGACTGATCAACGATGCTAAACAGATGAATGACGTACATTTTGCTCCTCCCTCCTCTGATGATGTAACTGTGCTAACGAAATCGCATTTTGCAATTCCAATGGGATTCGAAGTACTAAAGTATATACAAGTGAGCACTGAAGTAGTAAGTCATTAGTAAGCGATTCATGATTTAGGATATAATCAAAATGAAAGTTGAGATGATACCTTTTCTTTCGGCTTGCATTAAACGCCTCAGTAAAATGCTGCTCCGAAACTTGAAACAATGTTTGTGATACAGGAACGACATCATCCGCTGTCAAAGCTGGAGTCGCCGGCGCGCTGTTCTAGAAAGAAAGTGAAGAATCAAAAGTCTCGAGCGGATAAGTATGATATAGATATAAACTCAAAACTTTCGGCATCCACTATATTTTTTCATTTCATTGTTTGTTTACAAAATTTAAGAAAGTCTAAAAAAACTCTAACCAGCCGAGTTTAAGGAGATTAATTAGTATTGACGCTGGGTGCCAAAAACAGTTATAGAATGTGCCAACCACTGCTCTATCTCATAGTAAGAGCCATTTTTACTACCTCGTAGTTAGGGACATAAATGGAGGTGACAATTTGCTGTTTCACCGGCAAAGACTATTTGATTTGCAACCCTCTATGTTATCTGATATTGAGTTGAAGCACGCACGTCTTTCTCACAATGAGTACTTTTGAATCTATGGCAGTTATGGTTTAAACAGGAGTCTAAGAAAGGTTATAAACGACAGACTTCTCGAGAAGTGATCTCAACGAAACATTTTATAAGGAACACCCATCGAGCTATGTCACAAGACTCGAAGAATTTGGAGATTGGTTGTGTTTTGATGATCGGTATTGCAGGTCACATATTGGCAGTGATGGTCTCATTCGTTGATAAATAACGGTTCATTCAGCGGTATTGTTGAAAAAGTTTCCACCACATTTTACAAAGGATTTTGGGAAGCAGAGCTAAATTGAGCGACGACATGTGTTTCAAATTGCCTCATCTTCAAAACAGATTGTACTGAGTTTGTCTTTCTGTAAGCTTGAAAAGAACTCGTGCATCCTGGAATTACTCTTATAGAGCGCCAACTGTTGTTTTGTATGAACGAGACTACATTCCACAAGCCATCTACATCACCAGGTAAACCAATAAAATGTGAACTCGCCAAAAATTTTCACATAAAAACTATGCCCATGTTTTAGTGCACTAGATTGTTTTCAGGGGGTTTCTGTTTTTTATCTTCATTTTAGTCTCTTATATTCGCCACCCTGAGCACATTTTTGAAAAAAGAGTAATTAAATGCGTTCAGTGGGATAGAAGACCTAGACATAAAGCATGCGAAGTACGGAGATAAAAAAAAGGAATTAATATAATTAAGGAAATTAAGGGGAAAGGAACTAATTTTCAGTAAAGAACTTTAGCTCTTTTTCTT